TTTAATTTTTCTTAAATATATATTATTATAATTTCTTTATTTTTATTTTTTATTATAAATATTTATAAGCATTATAAATATATATAAGCTTATAACTTTTTTAATAAACTTAATTAAATATTTTAAACTCTTTTAAAATATAATTAAGAATTAAAAAAACTTAATAAACCTTTAATGTTTTTAATTTAAATACTTAAAATTTAATGCTTTTAAATTATTAATTTAATATATTTAAGAAGTAAAAATTAAATAAATTAAATTATAAGCTTATGATAATAAATAAGTTTTTAAGATTTATTTATATCTTTTTCTTTATATTAAAAGCTTAAAAATAAATATTTAATATTTTTTATATTTATAAAAGCTAAATAAAATAATAATATAATTTAAATATTTATAAAATTAAATAAATATTAAAGCTATTAAATAAGTAAAATAAAAAGATATTAATTTAAAATTTACTTTCCTTTAAATCTTAAAAATAAATAACATTATAAAAAAAGCTAGTAAAATAATAATTAAATATGCTTTAATTATATTATTAAGAGCTAATTTACCTTTTAATTTTTAATTAAAGGTTATATAAGCTATAGCTTAATTATATAATATCTTATTTACTTTAAGGAAAAAAAGGCATACCTTAAATATTCTTTTATATAAATAATTTTCTTATTATTTTTAAAAATTTAAATTAACTTAAATTTATTATTTTATAGCTTATTTATTACCTTATTAAGATAATATTTATAATTATAAATATAAAGTATATATATTTAAAAGGAAATATAAAAATAATATAAAGAAATACTTTATAAAAAAAAACTTAAAGGCTTATATTAAATATTTAATTAATTATATAATATTTAATATTTTTTAAATTTAAATTTCTTTATTTAAATAAATAGTCTTTATAAAAAATATATAATTTAATAACAATATATTTTATAAATTAATAATAAATTAAATAAAGAATAGCTTTTTAACTTTTAAAATAAAATAATTAAATATTAATATTATTAATATTAAAAAGATTTAAAATTATATTTATATTATAATTTTAATATTTTATATAAAAAATAATTTAATTAATTTAAATAAGAAATTTAATATTTATTTTATATTAAAAAAAAAAAAAATTAATATTTTTAATTAAAATTTAAAAATAAGGGTTTTTAAATTTAAAAAATAAAGTTTATTATATATTGCTTTTTTAAAAGCTTAAAAAATTAAAAATAAAAACTTTTAATTTTTAAATTTTTTTTAAATATATTAAAATAAACATTTTATAAAGAAAAATATATTTTTATTAATAAAAAAAGGGTTAATAAATTTAAATCTTTTTTTAAAAACTTATATATATTTAAAGTTATAAAAAATTAAAAATTCTTTTAATTAATAATAATAAGAAAAATATAAAAATAAATTTAAGAATTTAAATTTATAAAAAGAGTTTCTTAAATATATAATTAAAATAAATATTTTTAAAATATAATTATATTTTATCTTAATATAACTTTTTAAAATAACTTTATAATTACTTTTTTATTTAATTAATTTAAAAAATAAAAATAAAGAATACTTAAGGATTTATATTTTTTAATTTTAAATAATATAATAATAATTATTATTTAAATCTTTAAGATTAAGTTTAAGCTTTATTTAATATAATAATATTATAAAAACCTTTTTTTTAAAATTAATTATATAAAAAAAAACTTAAAAAAGCTTTTTTTAAAATAAATAACTTAAAGTAATATATTAAGAAATATAAAGTTTAATTAAGCTTAATATTTAAAGAATTATTAAATATTAAAAAGTAAAATTAATATTATTATTTTTAAAATAAATATATAAATATAAACTTAATAAAAATAAAATAATTAAATCTTTTAAAGCATAAATTTATATTTAAAAAAACTTATAACTTTATTTTATTATAAAAAATATATATATTATAACTTTAATTATAAAGTTATTTTATATAATAATAATAATTATTATATACTTTAATTTAAAGATTTAATAATTTAATATTATAATTATATTTTTAAACATTAATTAAAAAAAATTAAATTTAATTTATTATAAATTATTTAATAAATTTAAAAAATTAAAAAAATATAAAATCCTTTTAAAAATATTTTATAAACTTAAAAATTTTTTATTTTTTTAATATAAAGATTTTAATTATATATTATAAAATTTAAGCTTAAAATCTTTATTAAAATAATTATACTTTTTATTAACTTAATTTATAAAGTAATAATATTTTTTATATAAATAATATTTTAATTATATATTTTAAAAATAAAAATAAATTCTTTATAAAAATTAAAAATAAAATTTAATTTATATATAAAATAAAAAATTAAAAGAAAGCTTAATAATTTTTAAATATATAAACTTTTAAAAATTAAAAAAAGTATATTATAATATTTTTTTATAACTTATATATTAAAATAATAATAAATAAATATAATTTATTAAAAAGTAAAAACTTTTTATTATTTATTTTAATGCTTAAAAAAAGCTTAAATCTTTTTTTAAATAAGCCTTAAAATAAAAAATTTAAAAGTTTTAAGAAAAAGTTAATTTTATTCTTTATATAATAATTTTATTATACTTAAATATAATATTTTTATACTTTATATTATTAAGATTCCTTATAAACTTAAATTTAAGTTACTTTAAAATAATAAATTATATAATTTAATATTTATATATTATTTAATTTCTTAAATTATAATATAAAGAAAATTAAAAAACTTAAATACTTTTAATAATTAAAAATGCTTTATTTATTAATAATAAAAAGAATTAAAAATTCTTTTAAAAGTATATAATAACCCTTTTTAAAAGCTTTATATATTAAAAAATATATAAGTAAATAATTATTTTTACTTTAATTATTAAAGCTAAATTATTAACTTTAAAGCTTATAATTAAAGAAATAATAACTTTAAAATATTTATTTAAAAATATAACTTTAAATTTAAATAAGCCTTAAATTACTTTTTATAATAATTAAATAATTATATATTTAATTATTAATAAATATAAATAGCTAAAAATAAAGATTAAAGAAATAAATATTTAATAAATATAATTAAAATAAGAATTTTTAAAAAATACTTTTAATATTATATACTTAAAAATTAAAAAAATACTTATAAATAAACTTATTAAAATTTTATTATATATTTAATTTAAATATTTAAAAGCTTTTTTAAATCTTTAAAATATAAAAAAATTAATAAAAGGAAATTAATTTATTTATTAATTATTTTTATTATTAAGTTTTTATTAATAATTTTAAAAATTATACTTTTTAAAAATTATACTTTTTAAAAATTATACTTTTTAAAAATTATAATATAATATATATATAAAAACTAGTTTATAATTAAAAACTACCTTTTAATCTTTATAATAATATATTAATTAATTTAAAACCCTTTTTTAATTATTATAATAATTCTTTAACTTTTTTAAAAAAAAATTTAATTTTTAAGTAAATTCTTAATTTATTAATTTATAATTTTAATTTAAAATTTAATAATATTTATTTTTAAAGATTATCTTTAAAATTAAAAGATTTAATTTTAATAATAATATAATTCTTATACTTTTTTATAATTTTTAAGTTATTAATAACTTAATTTTAAATCTTTTAAGCCTTTATATTAACTTTATTATATTACTTTATAATAATTATAATTTAAGCTTTAAAATGCTTTATTATATTTTTATATTTATTTTTTATAACTTTTAAAAGTTATTATTATAAAGTAAAAAATTATAAAGTATTTAAAGAAATTATAAAAATATAAATAAAGTTAATATAAGTAAATTTCTTATATTTATATATATTTAAGGCCTTTTTTAAGTATATTAAAACTTTTTAAATATTAAAAAATTATTAAATTAAGTATAATAAAAATAAAGTATAAATAATAAAAAATAAATTAAAAGTAGCTTATAAAAATTACCTTAAATATAATAATAATAATAATTATCTTTATTATTATAACTTATATAAAAATTATTATTATAATTATATATAAGGCTTTTAATATAAAGAAAATAAGAAATATAATGCTTATTAATGTTTTTAAGCTTTTTTATATTTTTTTCTTTTTTTTATACTTTATTTTAGCTTTTTTTTAAAAAGCTATTTTATTTTAAACTTTAAGTTATTTATATATATTTAACGGTTTTTTAAAGTTATATTAAGAATTAATATATATTTTAAAATTATTTTTTAAATTAATTAAAAAACTTACTTTTAAGTATATTATTTAATAATATTTTCATAAAAGCATTAAAGTTTTTATTATTTTTATTAATAAGCTTTTTATTAATTTAATTATACTTATATTCTTTCTTTAAAACCTTAAAAATATAAAAACGTTAAATAACTTATTATTTAAAAGCTTATTTTTTATTACTTTTAGTTATTTTTAATATAATTAAAAAGATATTTAAAATTAATAAAAATAAATATTTTTAAATACAAATTTAATTAAAAAGTTTAAAAATAAGATTTAATTTTTAATTATAAGTAATTAAAATTTAAATAATAAAGTATATATATAATAAAAAAGATTAAATAATTAATTATTTAATAAGTTATAATTAATATTTTTAAGTATAAATAAGCTACTTAAAAAAATAAAATAATTAATAAAATAAGAATTACCTTTTAATTAAGGGGTATATTGCATATATATCCTTAACCTTAATTTATAACTACTTTTTAAAATGCTTAAATAGCTAAATTTCTTTTATTTCCTCCTTTTACATTACTCTTAAGAGATAAACGCTTTTATAATCATGCTTTCAAACCCTTACGGCACTTGTAGCCTTCTACATGTTGCCCTTCCGGGGGACCAACACTGAGACTTGAGTCTGGCACAGGGCCGAGATCCGAAGAGCAGCAGCTGGCTCCCGGCGGCCTTTGTCAGGACAACGCATATAAGCCACCCAGCTGCCGAGGAAGCTCACTTCGTCAAGACGCCCATGATATGAGGCAGCGGATGGTACCATGGCTCGCCGCTTGGCTGCTCGAGGTCAATCTTCGTCCACGGGCCGGCTTCTCTGAGCATCTTGGGCGTGTTCCGGCACAGTTGGCATCCACCTATCACAGTTGGCCAGAAGATGTCCACAAGTGCTGACAAGAATTAGCGCGACATCCACTGTCGAAGTAATTAACGGTGGCCTATGCATGCGATGTGCCTTGCTCTACACATTGCATGCAAAGACTACCGTCCGGCACAAGACTTACCCTGGTACACTCGCATAAACAAGCCACATTCCCTCAATCTCTCGCTCTCACACCGGACGTGTTCGTACACATACCATCTACCACCAGGCTTCAGGTAGCCAAACAGCTCCTTGATGTTGAACTCGGGATCAGGGATACTGCAGAGGCACATGACCGACACGATGCAGTCAACGCTCTCCTTGGCCACGCTCCCGGACTTGGCCAGGTCCTCAATTCCGTGGGGCACGACCTGGTACGTGTCCTGCAGGCCCGCCGCCGCGGCGTTCTTGCGCAGAGCGGCGTGGACGCCGGTGTTAGGCTCGACCCCGAAAATCCTAGTGATCCCCTTGCCCGAGGTGTGGATCTTGGAGAACACGGACACCCACATCCCTGTGCCGGGTCCGACCTCGATTACTATGCCGCTGATACTCTCGTGCTGGCGCTCCTTGACGACGTTGCCGCGGGCGACGTGGCCCTCAAGCAAGGGGATCACGCGGGCCTCGCCCGTCTCCCTTACGCCGGGGCCGGCTGTCGCCCAGAAGGTGCCGAACCAGGCGGACTGGAGCTTGGAGGGGGAGAGCAGCGTTGTGAATTGGCCCTGGAGGAGTAGGCGGAGGATCGTGGAAGGGAGGACCAAGAGGGCCTGGAACATAAAGAGCCATGGGTCAATGAGGAACCAGAATATTTCGGTGAGAGGGGCCATGATGGGTAGGTTAGACACCGGGGCGTGACGGCGATGAAGAGATGCCCGGAAGCCAATGGCGGGTGGATGGGAAGGTCGTAAAATTATCTGGGAACTCTATACTGATCTGGGAATTTCCATGCTGACATTGGATAACTTGGCAGTCATAAAAGGAGCGACTGGTGCTGATATATACCAACTGATCTCACCGTTGGATGTGAAAGGATGAGCAAGTATTACAAACACAAACTTTGCGGGAAGATGTTTTGCCGAGTCAGCGTACGCCCACCCAGCTTCCACAGTACGCCCACCCAGCTTCCAGCGTTGGCCCACCCAGTACTTCCTTTTCTTAGTATTATATTAATAAGACTAGGTACTTTTTTAAGTTTACCCCGTATATAAGAAGCTAGGGTAGCTATTTTCTAATTTAAGCGATACTTTAAAAATACAAGCCCCCAAAGCGCCCAGAGGCCCCAGAGCGCCCAGAGCGCCCAGGGCCCCGAGGGCGCTGAGGGCCGCAGAGGGCGCCGAGGGGGCAGAGGGCGCTGAGGGGGCAGAGGGTGCCGAGGGGGCAGAGGGGGCAAAGGGCAGAAGGGTAGAAGTAACTTTTAAGTTGCAAATAAAGGGGTAGCTATAAGACCCCTTTAAGATAGCTATAGCTATGCTTTATTAATAACCCTGCAATACTAATATTTTATAACGCGTGCAACCAATTTCCTTGTACTGGGTGGGCCAACGCTGGAAGCTGGGTGGGCGTACGCTGACTCTGTTTTGCCCTGAACCTGGGGCTGTGAGAATGCAAGAGGGGGTTGGAGAGATCCACTCAGCTTTGACCAGGGTCATGTTTACAAGCAGAACAGCGTAAAGTGCTTGATAAAAAGCTTTCTCTTACTTTAAGGTGCGGCTATGAAAATAATAAAGCTAATTTTATAGTTATACCACTAGTAAGGGTAACTTAATAAACTATATTATATAAGTTATTAAAATTACTATAATTATTAATATAATATTATTATATTTTAAAAAATTTAAAAATATTATTATAAAAAAATAAATAAAAAAATAAATAAATAAATAAATAATAAATAAATAAATAAATAAAATAAATAAATAAATAAATAAATAAATAAATAAATAAATAAATAAATAAATAAATAAATAAATAAATAAATAAATAAATAAATAAAAATAAATAAATAAATAAATAAATAAATAAATAAATAAATAAATAAATAAATAAATAAATAAATAAATAAAAAATATAAAAAAATATAATATATTTATATATTTATATTAAATATATAATTTAAATTAATTTTATTAATAATAATTATTAATTAATATTAATTAATAATTATATATAATTAAATTATAATATTTTTTATAATTAATATAAATTTAATATATTTTAATTAATATATATTTAAATATATAATTTTTTTATATATATATAAAATAATAAAATAATAAATTATTTTTTAATATTAATTAAATTATATATTTAAATATATATTAATTAAATATATAATTTAAAAAAGTTAATAATATTATATATATTTATTTATATAATAATTAATATATATATTTATTATTTTTAAAATAAAAATAAAAACTTTATTAAATTTTAAATTTATTTTTTATTTATATTTATATTAAAACTTATTTTTATAATGTTAAAGCTTATTAATTAATTATAATAAATAAAGCTTAAAGTATAATATATTCTTTTAAAAATCTTTATAATAAACTTTAAAAAATAATTACATAATAAAAATAAAAAATATTATATTTTAATTATAAATTAAATATTATTTTTTATTTAATTATTTAATTATATTTTAATATTTTTTAAATATATTAAAAACTTAATTTATTTTTAATAATTAATATATTTTTAATTTTTATAATTTAATATAATAATAATATTTTATTTATATAAAGCTATAATATATATATATATATATATATAAAGCTTATTAATTAGCATGCAATCCCTTTATAAATTCACTTATACTAAAAAAACTATACCTTAAAGCTAAATAAAAATTAATATGCCTTTTAATTCCTTTAATTAAAAGCTCCTTCCTTAACCTTTCCTAAGATTTATAAAGCCTTTCCTTACTCCTCTTTCTTAATAATCCTCTTTTTTAATCCTAATTTTAATAAAGGCTGCTTCTTATAAATAAATCCCTTATAATTACTTAATAAGGAATTATTACTTTCTTATTAAGGGCCGCGGCTACTTTAATGCAAAATCATAAAGTTATTTTTGCTAATATAAGGCTTTTAATAAAGTTAATTAAAGCTTATAATAAGGTTTATTTATTAATAAATTTAAAGGCCCTTTATAAGAGCGCCTTATTATAAAGCGTATTTTAAGGCGCCGCTAATTTAAAGTTTTAAGGGCTTAAGGCTTTCTTTAAATACCTATTTTTATTAGCTTTAATAAGGTTTTTAAAGCCCTAAATATAGGCCCCTTTTAGCTAAGGGGGTTGTAAATAAGCAAGCAGCGATTCGCTATAGCATAATTAAAGGGAAAATTCCCAAAAAAGATTTCGGCAGCTATAGCAAGGTTTAAACCTATGCTCTCTATAAAGAGAAGCCAAATGCATAACCAGTGCGCCACGCAGCCTTATAATTTAATATATTAATTATAATAAATTATTAAAAAATAATTATTTAAATATAAATTAATAATTAAATTAATAATATTTTTATAATTTTTTAATTTAAACTTTTTATATAAGCTTTTTATTTAAAATTTTAAAATTATAAATTTATTATATAATTTATAATTAATTAATTTATTTTGAATTTAAATTAATATTAAATTAATAATATTTTAAATTTTATTTTATATTTTTTTAAATAAATTTTTTTTTAATTTTAATTAATAAAAATTATATTTTTATTTTTTTATAATAATTAAAATAATTATATTTATAATAATTAAATATAATTTTATAATTTTATATTATTTTTAATAACTTTTTATATAATATTAATAATACTTTTTTATATATTTGTTTTATTTAAAATTAATAATAAATTTATAAAACATTATAAAAAAATTATAATAATGTAAATTTTATTAATATAATATTTAATATATTAATAATAAAAATAAATATTATTTATTATATAATTTTAAATAATAATAATAAAATAAATTTTATTAATAATTATAAAAAAGTTATTAAAAATATTTTAAAATAATTTAAAAATTTAATTAAAAATTAAAATATAATTTAAATTTTTAATATTTTTAAAAATATTAAATAAATTTATAAAATAATTATAATATTGTGGAAATAATATGTATGGGCATTATATATAACGTGCTTATGCAGTGAGTGCGCTGCAGGTAATGCATAGATTTAAAGGTATAAGGTTTAAATTAATCTTATTAATAGCAGCTGCCAGCTAATACTAGCCGGCTGCCAGTTAGCGGTTATATGCCCTATATATAAACTATTATAGCTAGCTTATAACTAAATAAAAAAAGGCTATAACTTTGCTATAACCTACCTTTTACATTATAGCTAAATTAATTATATACTTTATTTATTTATTATTAACTATATAAAAGTTAAATTAATATTAATTAATACTTACTTAATAAGTATAAATAATTAAATATTAAAGAAATAAATCTTATTTTGCAAAAGTTTATTTACTTATAATAATTTTATTAAGAAACTTTATATTAATAATAATATTATAAGCTATTAAAAAGCTTAACTAAGCATTAAAAACTAATTTATAATAATAATACTTAATCTTTAATTATATTTATTAATATAAATCATTAATAATAATAATTATAAAAAGCCTTAATTAAAAAGCCTTTCTTAATATATCTTTAAGTAATTATAACCTTTTTTAATTATTAAAAGCCTTTTTATAATACCCTTAATTATTAATTAAATTAATAATAAGCTTTACTTAATTTTATTTAATTTATAATAAATGCCTAACTTTTAAGTAAAATTAATTAATTTATAATAAATACTTAACTTTTAATTATATTATCTTTATACCCTTAACCCTCCTTATAACACTTTTAAAAAGCCCTTATTTACTACCCTTAAAAAGCTTTTACTTAGTACCCTTAAGAAACCCTTGCTTAATACCCTTAAAAAGCCCTTACTTACTATTCTTAAAAAGCCCTTGCTTAGCACCCTTAAGAAGCCCTTGCTTAGCACCCTTAAAAAGCCCTTGCTTAACACCCTTAAAAAGCCCTTGCTTAATACTCTTAAAAAGCCTTCTTTTATAATTAATACTCCTTAAGGCACTTATATAACGCCTTAAGCCTTTTAACCCTTTAAAAAAACCCTTAAACACTTAATAAAGCATAAAGCGCTTAAATACTTTAAAATATTAGCAAAAAAAGCAACTCTTTTAGCTAATTTAAAACCGTTAAAAGGAATAATTAAGATTTATTATAAATTTAATTATATAAACAACTTAATTAAACCTTTAAGATATTTACCTTTTAATAATAATTAATATTTAATTAATAAGCATAACCCTCTTTCTTCTTAATGCCCTCCTTATTAATACTCTTTAATAAAATCTTAAGCATAAATTACTTAAAAAGCTAATAAAAATTAATTTATTAAGCAATAATAACATTTAAGCGTTATTACTTATAAGTAAATAGTTTAAAAACTAATTATTAGCTTATAAACATAATATAAAAATATTTTCTTTTCCTTTCTCTTTACTTTATAATTAATTATTATAAGATTTACTTTAATAATAATAGCCTTTATATTAATAATAACCCCTTTCTTTAATAAAAAGAAGGTTATTAATATAATTAAAAGCTTTAAAGATTATTTAAGCTATAATAAAGATCTTTTTAATGAATTTTAATGCAAATTTCATGGATAAATAAAGGAATACTTTTAAAAGATTAATTAAAGGCTTTTTTATAAGCTTAAATAAATACTTTATTATTATAAGGTATATATAAATTGCAATTATATATTAATAATAAAGGCATTAATTATTTTAAC